GGGCGGACAGAATGGGCAAACTGTCTTGTCGAGCTGCTGCGTGTGGAAACTGATGTTGAGCGACACATGTTTTTGACTGGCAAGCTGCGGCAAGCTGGAGCCCCCATACTCTGAGTTGGTGTTGCAACTTCGTCAGGTGGAAATGGCCGGTGTGGGGGAGTTTCTTGCACTGGCGAAGCTGCGCAGATACTGACCTGAAGTTCCCAGGCTGCTCAAAGGCTCTTGCCGGTGTCAACGGGAGGACTCAATCTGCAACACAACACACAGCTTTGAACTGGCAGGCGTCCGCATAGATATCGAAGTTGTGGCAGCCATGGCAGCTATGGATCGAGGTCGTAGAGCAGAAGGCCTTGGAGCCATGGTTTAGCACGGACATCGTCCGGTCCTTCGATTCTTTGGATGAAGCTGGCCAGGAGCTGCCTGTCGGTCTTGCTGGTGGCGAAACCGGCGCCGTTATTCTCAGCACAGCACATCAGCGGCAACTGAGACCTTGGATGCCATCAGGCTGACGCCGCTGATCTTGACCTTGGTGATAGCCTGCGAGTTAAACCACCTTGGCGCAGCCCTGTGACCCTTTGTTTCCAGAGGGAGGGCTGGGCCGGACTACTCAAGTGAGGGAGAAAGAAGCGTGCAACGCAAGGGGCGCAGCGCGGTGGAATCAGCCGAGCTTTAGACAGCAGGCAGTTTAAAATCTTTGGGCGGGGAAAGGAACAGCGGACTCGTGCAAGAACAGGTCCATTTCTAGACGAAGAGCCAAGGTCAGCAGAACAAAGGTACAAGCGGCAGTGTAAAAGTGCTAGAATGCGAAAGCCATCGGAGACTGCTGCAACTCTGTGTCGTGGTGCAGGTCTGAAGTAGATGTAAAACGCAAATGGAAATCTTTTGCTGTTAGCAGATTCGCAGATGAGTCCAACGCCAACCGTGGAAGCATTTTCAGCTGACAGATACGAGCCCTGCGCGGCAGCGACCATGGATGCTGAAACAAGAAACGTTTAGCGAAGTGAAATGTTATCGTTTTGATACTGCATTCACATGAGCATGCGTCCGTGAAGGCCATGAAGATTCAACTGGGTTGTTTTGTCAGGTGGTCCGTGTTGGATTTAGGTTTCGTCATCACCAGTGCAAGGGGGCTACTTCAGGAATTAGCTGACCAAGTACTGAGCAGTCGCTTGCAGTTTGCGATTTTGTTTTTTTTTGGTGGAATGCAGAATGCACGTAATTCATGCAGATGGAATGTCCGCATTTTTTGTGAGAGCAAGCATATCCGCGGCTGCTTGTGAACCGTCTTGACCGCATTGAGCATGAGCTTCTCATTGCAGCGTTAGCGCATTTTAGGTGAACAAACATCATTCAGTTGCATCAGACTTGTGGAGTTTCATTATATGCAGCATGCAAGTTGTGCAGCATGACCCAGCGAGAAAATATGCTTCGAGATCGACGGTTGCTGTCTACCCCAAAGCAGAAGACATCATTTGAACAACGTTGTTGAATCAATCATGGATGCACCAGGTAGCCGCCAGCTGCTGAGAGCAATGCGCGTAGGTATATATATATATATATTATATCTGTATGTATATATATATATACATACATACATACATACATATATATATATATGTGTCTGTGTCTGTGTCTGTGTCTGTGTCTGTGTCTGTGTCTGTGTCTGTGTCTGTGTCTGTGTCTGTGTCTGTGTCTGTGTCTGTGTCTGTGTGTCTGTGTCTGTGTCTGTGTCTGTGTCTGTGTCTGTGTGTGTGTGTGTGTGTGTGTGTGTGTGTGTGTGTGTCTGTGTGTGTGTGTGTGTGTGTGTGTGTGTGTGTGTGTGTGTGTGTGTGTGTGTGTGTGTGTGTGTGTGTGTGTGTGTGCGGTGGGTGGGTGGGTGGGTGGTGGGTGGTGGGGGGCGTGGGTGCGGGGTGCGGGGGTGGCGGGGGTGGGTGCGGGGGGGGGGGTGTGGGGGCGGGGGGTGCGGGGGTGCGGGGTGTGTGCGGGGGTGCGGGGGTGCGGGGTGCGGGGGTGCGGGGTGCGGGGGTGCGGGGGTGCTGGGGGTGCGGGGGTGCGGGGTGGGGGTGCGGGGGTGGGGGTGTGGGGGTGTGGGGGTGTGGGGGTGTGGGGGTGTGGGGGGGTGGGGGGGGGGGGGGGGGGGGGGGGGGGGGGGGGGGGGGGGGGGGTGTGCGTGCGTGCGGTCGTGCATGCTCTTGTGTTCGAGGCATGGTGTGTTGATCTTCAAGTCATGAGGTGACAGCAAGGAACCTTTCATTGTCCAGCAGTTCAGGATCGAGTGTTGGAGCAGCCTGCTCACCGCTTCTTTTTGCACTCTCGCGGCTTTTCCTCTGCCTGGAACATATGCGCCACAGGCAGAAGCTTCCAGACAAGCCTTTGCTGGTCAGTGGAGCCGTTGGCGGGCCGTTGGCCCCTTGTACCCAAAAAACTCACAGAGCCTAACGGAGCACACATATGAGTCATATGAAAATTTTTACATTATGATTTATAATCATTAAAATCAAAGAATCCGAGTCTGAGGTGATCTTCTCGTGCACTCCTCTGCGCAACGGGCTCACTCTGGGAGCGCAGGAGACGACAGCAAGTGAGAGAGAGAGAGAGAGAGAGAGAAGCAGCAGACACAAAACATGGGACTCTCGCGCCCTTCGGGGCGGCTCCCCTCTAAAGGCCTGGCGTGTGGAGAGAGAGAGAGAGAGAGAGAGGGATAGAGAGCGAGAGAGAGGAGAGAGAGAGAGAGAGAGAGACAGAGAGAGACAGAAAGACGAGACGAGACGTCTGTCAGAGTCAGAGTCAGAGTCAGAGTCAGAGTCAGAGTCAGAGTCAGAGTCAGAGTCAGAGTCAGAGTCAGAGTCAGAGTCAGAGTCAGAGTCAGAGTCAGAGTCAGAGTCAGACAGAGCGAAAGAGAGAGAGAGAGAGAGAGAGAGAGGGAGAGGGAGAGGGAGAGGGAGAGGGAGAGGGAGAGGGAGAGGGAGAGGGAGAGGGAGAGGGAGAGGGAGGGAGAGGGAGACAAAATGAAGGATTGGGGGCTCATAAAGAGGGGGGATATGTGAGAGAAGAGGGGGAGGACCCTTCGTAAAGAAGTTTCCCAAAAAGGAGTACAGGGAGGCTTCGGTGGGGTGTGGCAGTTCTCTGTTCCGGCTTGCCTGTTTCAAAACGATGTTTTGCCTGCGCACAGGGCTGCGCGGATTGACGTTTGGATCTGCCAGGACAAGAAGTCCGACATCCCGGCATTGTACCGTAAAGCCTGTCTCTTGGTCTCTTGTGCCGTTTGTGGGGTTCCGCTGCAATTTGTTCGTTGTTTAAGTCAGTTGCAAGTGTATTCAGTGTATTCAGTGTATTCAATGTATTCAATGTATTCAATGTTTTGAGTGAGAATGTGAGAACCGCTCTCAACTCAAGGTGTTTCGCGGAGGTCCGCGTGCAGGTTGGACCGGGGGCTTGGCGCCCGCTGCTCCTCGGCCTCCTCAGAACTTCAATCTCAGCTAATCGGCTCAGCTGCGGCCCTTGTTAGAGTGCACTTCCCGTACACTTTGCTTGCAGAGGTCGTGGCCTGCCCGCAATTCCTGGCCATTGGACCCGTTTGCGCCTTGGGATCTCTGTTGTCGTTGGGTTGTTTTTGCTGGCAGATGTACCTGAGATGTACCACTTCATGAACGACAGCTTGAGGGAACTCACATCGGTCCTCGCCTGACCCCGCGCATTGCCATGCGTTGCCATGCGTTGCCATGCGTTGCCATGCGTTGCCATGCGTTGCCATGCGTTGCCATGCGTTGCCATGCGTTGCCATGCGTTGCCATGCGTTGCCATGCGTTGCCATGCGTTGCCATGCGTTGCCATGCATTGCATTGCCTCTCTGCAGTTCTGTCGCATTCCATCATGAAGTGCTTGACCGGCTTGACTGCCGAGGCATCCAAGTTTTGTTGCTCAGTGCGGACGCTACGAAACGCACCTTGCACCTTGTGTTCTCGCTGACTTCCTGCTTGAGGCAGTTGCTTCATTCGGTGCAGCCCTGTGTGAAACGGTACGCCGGCAACTTGCAGTAGCCTTTGCAGCAACCATCACACCATCACTGGTCCGTGTCCTGATGTGTCTTGCTTCTGTTGCTTCTTGTCGATTGTTGAGAGGATGTTCCCCGCAAGGGCTGGCTCGAGACACCTCCAATGTGCACAGCTCCGGCAGTGGCAGAAGGCACGAAAGGCACGAAAGGCACGAAAGGCACGAAAGGCACGAAAGGCACGAAAGGCACGAGAGGAGGCGCACTGGAGAAGGCACTGGAGAAGGCGGCCAAGGCCTCAGCGTCGGACCAGGGGCAGGTGGGGTGAGAGAAGTCGGGGAGCCGGGGTCCTAGGTACATGAACACCAATGGCGTCCCAGATTCCCAGATTCCTCTGGTGGAGTCCAAAGGCGCGTGAAGGGTGCCAAGTCGCGAAGGGTGCCAAGTCGCGCGTTAAGGTTTGTGAAGGCTGTCAAACTGTGACAGTGACTGTATAAAAGTATGACTTCCTGAGGAAAAGGACATGGCGGCAACGGCGGCAGCGGCGGCAATGCCAAAGCAAATTCCGAGGCGCACCGCATGCTGCAACAGGTGACATCTGGTGTGGGCTTCCAATCCGCTAGAAGCAGCATCAGATCATTGACAGATCGATGAGTTACTCAAACCTGATTCGTTTCACTTTCTTGCAGGGGCATGATGGCAATGTCCCGCTCTTGGCTAGCAGCGTTCTGCATGTTGCCAGCACACTTGCTGCTCCATGAGATTTTGAAGATGCTAGCAGGTCCACATAGAAGCTGTCCACGAACTAATGTGTTGGCAAAATTGGAAGCAGTCGAGTCCAGTTCTTCGTCAAACGTGAGGCTTCGCCTACAAAGCAGTCCAGCCTTCAGTAACCAAAGTGCTCGATCGAAGAGTTTATGTGCCACATCATGAGACACTCTGAGACCGTGTCCTTCTCAGGACCGGCAGGGCGCGAGACAATTTCTTGTCGGCTGCGGTGCTTGGCAACATGGTGACGACCTTGACATCTCAATTTGAATTGGCAAAAGGCCCCCAGGCGCACAGCTGCTTTTGCACTGCAGTTCGCCAATCGAAGGTCAGCCTGGGGTCCGATGCTGCCAATGCAGGCATGATGGCAGCAACCTCGAACGCAATGTGGTCATGCACCATCATGCACCCAATGCACCGAGGGCTGATGATTACCCTACATAACGCCCTCTTGCTCAGTCATGTCATTCGAACACATGTGTCGTTGCACATCAGGTACGCCACGCGCGGATCATTCAGCAACTCATCCTGGCGTCTGGGAACGAAGCCAGCAAAGCGTATGAGCATCTGGGATTCATACCGTGCACTGGAAGCAGAGCTGAAAGCATGTTGAAAGCATGTGTGACATGTGTGGTGTTGATGCGGAAAACCAAGGAAGTGGCAGCGCCGCGGGAAAGCGTCCGTGTGCTCCAAGAGGGACGTAGAAGAGCTCCAGAGTCACGGCTCTGTAAGGCGCTGACATCCACTGTGCTGGGTAACTGGGTATGGGGGAAGTCTCACTTCCAAGCCTCACTGTGGCAGCCGGAAGGGGTTCCAGTAAAGGAGGGCTTCGATCTTCTTGTTTCGGGCGAGCCGACATGGCCTATCGCAGGAACGCATTGCGCTCTTTTTTCTTCGCCTTGCATTGTGCATACCCTCCCATTGTTTACGCGTACCAGACTCTGAAGGAGGTGTGACTTTTTGGGCAGTGTACACATGACTTGTTTGTTTTTAGTTTTGCGCTCTCTACACTCTTCCTCTTCCTCTTCCTCTTGCTCTTGCACTTCCTCTTCCTCTTGCTCTTGCCCTTCCTCTTTCTCTTGCTCTTTCACTTCCCCTTCCTCTTCCTCTTTCCCTTCCCTTCCGCTTTTTCTTGATCCTTCTCATTCTCCTTCTCCTTTGCTTTCTCCATCGCTTTCTCTTTCTCTTTCTCTTTCTCTTTGTCTTTCTCTTTCTGTATACGTGTACACCAGTTTGTCTGCTTGAGGAACGACGTGCGCAAAGCCGGCAACAAGATGCAGCAGCGGAGACGGGCCAATCTCCTCAACCGGCTGTCGAGTGAAATGACGTCACACGGCTTTCAACCGGAGGCACACCCGAGAGAATGCACGAGGTCCAAAGTGCGCAGCATTTTTCACGCGATACTGGAAGACACAATAAGACTGGGGAACGCGTCCACACACACACACACACGCGCACATTCGTAACATTATTTCAAGCAGGCCAAGGGTGTTAAGGGCCGTAAGGGCCCTAAGGGCCCTAAGGGCCCTGAGGGTGCAATGGGACCCCGCAGTCTTCGAACGTTGGTGATAGCATCTGATAGCAAGTGTAAGTGTACAGTTCATGGGCATCGCAAGCTTGGGAGCACTGCTTCGTTGTGCAGTGCATGGGATAGGGGTCTACAGGTTGGCCCAGGTTGGCCCAGGTTAGGCCGCCGTCCTTTTTTGCAGAGTGCCCTGCAGAGTGCTATGCAGAGTAGATGCAGAGTGCTGGCAGTGTAGCGGGCTTCGGTTGTTTCTTTTGGGGTTGCGGAGGGGGCCTTTGGCAACCGCCGCTCCGTGACCGAGACGCCGAAGCCAGAAGCCAAGCTGCCAGGCCGTGGGCAGAGTTCAGAAAGATGAAATCATGTTTCCTCATGTTTCCTCATCTTTTTGCTCCAACGTCTGCCCACCAAATCACTCCTTTTGAATGGTTGCTAGTCCATTATGTCATTATGTCTACTCTGCTCAGCGACTGTCAGGGCTTTCTCATGCTGACTCCTTGGAGTCCTTCGACGGCAGCGGATCAGGCGCGTGCCAGCATGTGCCAGCGTGGAAGATGTGGAAGCTGTCCTAGCTTTTGGCATGGCTCCAGATGGCTCCAGATGGCTCCAGGTCGCAAAAGATAGAGCTGGGCTTTTAAGAACAAAGCGCAGTTAAGGAAGTCGGGGAAGGAGTCGAGACCCCTCAATGCGCAGGAGACAAAAACTGTTGAGCATTACAATAGAAGGCGTCGTCATCACGGGATGTCAGCCTGAGCCGAAGAACCTTCGGAGAAGACGGAAACAAAGCAGATCACGGCAAAGGGCCTCGGAGCTCGACTCTGGAAACTAGCTGCACATCTACTCTAGCTGCTGAGACGTCCTGAGACCAAACAGCGGTCGGCAGTTGTCTGCCCCTTCTGCCCCCCGAACCCCTTGAGGCCACCCTGAGCAGAGTACCACGCATCTTCACGTGATTGTTGGCTTGATAGCAGATGCACGGTCACCGCGGGAACTTGTCTGATCTTCTTCTCCCCTCCTCCTATCTCTGCACAAGTTCATCTCTTCCTCTCCTTCTGTGCCTCTAGGCAAGCCTTCGGCGTCGAGTGCGACCTCCAGTGACAGCAGCTCCTCCTCCGACTCCGACTCCGATGAGGAGGAGCGCGCAGCGCACCGGGGGCCCCCCCGGGTCTCTCTCCACCCCTCTCCACACTCTCTCCATCTCTCTCCATCTCCCTCCATCTCCCTCCATCTCCCTCCATCTCCCTTCATCTCCATCTCCTTCCATCTCCCTCCATCTCCATCTCCCTCCATCTCCCCCCATCTCCCTCCATCTCCCTCTCTCCCTCTCCCAGGTGCCGGGCCTGGGCTTCATGCGCCTGTCAGTGCCCCGGAGAGCGACAGAAGCCCCTTCCACAAGTTACACCACGTTACGTTACTCTGCCATGCTGTGCCATGCTGTGCCATGCTGTGCCCCTCTCTCTCCTCCCGGAATTGTTGCCGCAGCCATGATGGAAGTCTTATTGTCAGATCGGTGATATCCATATTGAAACGACACATGAAACTTTTTGAACCCCAGGGGGCAGGGTCGAGAAACATCACGTTCAGCGTCGAGTAAACATCACGTTAAGACTCCAGTGCGCATCCATCCCCAAGTCGAGCCCCTCCCCAGGCTGCCCGCCAGGAATTTTTCGGACCCCGCAGAACGCATTTGGTGTTTTATGCCTTGTAAGTGGCGGGGCTTCCCGTAACGCATTTTCCAGTCGCTGGAAGATGCAGGGGGCCTCCTCCGGGTGCCACGAGACACCAGAGGTAAGGCAGTGGTGCTTCCGGAGGCTTCCCGTGTATGTTCCAGTCCCCGCAAAATGAACAAGGCCCTGCCTCAACTGTATACGGGTAGGAAACTTCAAAAGCAACGTTCAAAAGCAACGTTTCAAACACTTCAAATGACTGTATTCATAGAAGACAACCTGAATTTCAAGATTCATACGAGAGAACAGTTATATGTATGAACTCGGGGTATTTGATAAACCCCTGTTTCGGAAAAAAAGCCAAAGCTCAACAAGAAAGTGAATGAGTTGGTTAAAATCAGGGTAAAACAAGCAACCAAATACAAAACATGGACGAACAAAAAACTGCCATTTTGACATAACAACCCAAAAAAAGCAAGCAGAACCGATAGCAAAACCCCAAAAAAGAAACACAAAAAGAAACACGCAACATAAAATGCGGGAAGGCGCTACAGAAATCAGCTCCAACAAATTAGGTTGCAAGATAAAAGAAAGGAGGGCGCACACTGGAGTCTTAACACTGTGTTTTTTTCGGCACGCGCCGGGTCCAGCAAGCATTCACGTCAAGACTCGAGTGCGCATCCAAGGGTGCACACTGGACAGAGAACCGTCCAGACCCCCCGTAGGATGCACACTCGAGTCTTAACGTGATGTTTTCTCGACTCCCCTCCCTTCATGAAGATCTTCGACAGCGTTGAATTGAAGAGTCTCCGAGAGCATCGAAAGAAAACTGAGGCACGTCTCAGATATGATATGGCTCAAATTTTCCGCGAGCAAAGCGGTTAACAGGATGGCTGTTTGGTTTGGAAGGCAGATGCGTATCATGCTGGAGTGGAAGAGAGTTTGGAGTGTCCAGTCGTTCGAAGCGAACCTGGAGGCCTCAGGAGCGCACGAACCGTTGAATAAAGTTGAATGTGAAGTTGAATGTGAAGCTGAATGTGAAGTGGGAAGAATCTGGGGGGGGGGGGGGGCGATTCCAAGCCGTCTGCTCCGGACAATTGCCCCCCCAAGTACATCTCTGCAGCGCGCTCGAAGCGAGGACTGGGCGCCGGGCCTCTTTGACGGCCGAGAACCCCGTGAACCTGGTCGCCCAGAGGACGCCTTGCACTTCACACCTTCCTTCGCTTTCTCTTCTTCTTCTTTCGCTCTCTCTTCTTGGCTCTTTTTCCGCTGTTTTTTGAAAGTCGAGGAGGATCGCCGTTCGGCAGCCCTCCCTGCTTCAGCAGCCGGCCTTCGGGCAGCTCGTGCGCCATTCGATCAGCCCGGGTTCCGCGGCCCATCCGGGCGGCCTTCCCGGACTTCCAGGGGACGTGGGGGCCCCCGGTTTCAACAGCAGTCGAGAGAAGCGCAAGTCGAGAAGCAGCCAAAGAAGTTGCAGCGTTGCAGCGGCCCTGTGAGCTTTCTTTTCACATAGCTCTCGTTTTTTCCCCAACGGCTTGAGCTTTGGGGTCGTCAGCCCTTCAGGGGTCCAGCGTTGGTTCCGCGAAGGAGGGGCGTCTGGAGTGGGTTGTGGAGCAGGTTTCGGGGTTCCGGATTCCGGAAGAAGGCTGGGTGTATGCCACCACGCCCTGTGTTGTTTGTGAGTTCACATTGGCAAGGCCCCAGCCTGAATGTGATGCCTTGTGTTTTTCGTGAGTTCACGTGGGAAGGCCCGAGCCTGTATGTCACATGGCAAGGCGCAAGCCTGTGCGTCACGCTTGTGTTTTTCGTGAGTTCACGTGGGAAAGGCTCCAGCCTGTATGTCACCCCTTGTGCTTTTTGGTGAGTTCACATGGCAAGGCCCCAGCTTGTATGTCACGCTCCGTTTTTTTCACGCGGCAAGACCCCAGTCTGTATGTCACGCCCTGTGTTTGTCGCGAGTCGTGAGTTTACATGGCAAGACCCCAGCCTGTATGTCACGCCCTGTGTTTTTCGTGAGTTCTCATGGCAAGGCCCTAGCCTGTATGGCACGTCCTGTCCAGCCTGTATGTCACGCCTTGTGTTTTTCGTGAATTCATGTGGCAAGGCCCCCAGCCTGTGTCACGCCCCGTGTTTTCTCGTGAGTTCACATGGCAAGGCCCCAGCCTTCATGTCACGCCCTGTATCACAATTTAGCAAGTCTTTGTACGCGCGGGTGAAAAGAAGTGTATACTCTTGCCCCGTTCGAAGTGGATGACAGGGCTTATACAATATTATTTCCTTGTCCAAAACCCAAATTCCAAATAATTCCAATTATAGAATTCGTGCGCCTCTTCGTTGCTGTATGGTCTTCTAGGGCATTCGCTTCGTTCTCGCAATCGCAAGCTCATTTGTTCACCGTGTTTTTCGTGAGTTCACATGGCAAGGCCCGAAGCCTGCAGGTCACGCCCTGTTTTTTGTCGCGAGTGCATATTGGCAAGGCCCCAGCCTGCACACTTCTGTCACGAGAAAGAGAGAAACTGTCCAGGAATACACGAAGCCACACGCGAGCAGGAACAGAAGTAGTATCCCAGCAGGTATCCCCAACAGCAGCAGAACGCGCAAAGGCAAGTCCGATAGCAGTTAGAGGTTGCAACAGGCATGCGCTGACTCCTTGAGCGCACACTCCCTCGGATTGCTTTCATGGGCTCTTCATTGATGCGCATGCGGCATGGGGCCTTGCCATGTGAACTCTCCCTCTCTCTCTCTCTCTCTCTCTCTCTCTCGGTACTTCTGTGAGGCACGTCCAAAGAGACAGTCGCAGTGGGGATGCAGCCTCAGCGTTGAGCGAGTTCAGCGCTGCAAGGCACAAGAGCGACAGGTTGCATGTTGCTGAGAGCAATCAGCTCGCCAAGCTTTAGGTCAGATTGCAGGACTCGCCAGACTTCTTCGGCCCAAAGAAGGAAACGAGCGTGTGACGCTGTGACGCTGTGACGCTGTGTGCGAGTCATATTGCTCCCACAAGGCCTGCAACTCCTCTTAAGTCTTAAGCCCTACACTTATGTCGCTCCCACAAGCATGCCTCTGGCATGGTGAGGAAGTAAAGTAAAAGCTCAAAATTCGCTCACGCAGTAATTACCTAAGCAGTTGTGTAACTCAGAAATTGGGCCATCATCAAGCGACTCAAAAAGAAGGTCAGAGGGTCATTTGCTGCTGCTGCTGCTGCTGCTGCTGCTGCTGTTGCAGCCGAGCTAGCAGTGCAGCCACAGCTTTTTTGCAAGATACGATAGGGTTCGGTTTAGGCACAGACTTGTCAGTCTTAGGGTTGGGACTTTGAGCTCGTCGGGGCCGGGGGGTGGGGGGTGGGAGGGAGGGCAGGGAGGGGAAGGCCGGGCCGGGGGTCTGTTCGTGGCTGCGCTTGTGGGTCTATCGTGACTCCCTCAGTGACTTGTATGTTGAGTTGGTTTTTTTTGAGCTGTTTTTGAGTCGTTTTTTGATATTTTTTGCGTTTTACAAGGGAAAACTCACAATCTCGCCTGGCCTCTCGTCTCGCATTCCAGGCCTACCTGGAATTACACTCATAAGAACACGGAAACACCCGCAGGAAACAAAAGATGGTCTGCGGGTTTCGACAAGGCCTCGTTTCTTCAGCTGACTGTTTGCTGTGGACGATCTCTGTGTATTGAGTTGTGTCATCTTTTCCTTGGTTCTGTTGATTTCCGAAGTGCCCCAGCAACTCAATTGAGGTAGGCAGTGACCTGTTTCTGATTTGATATTCCGAGCTTGTATTCTTAAGAAGCCGAGAAAGATGAGAAGAGTGGACAGGACCTGGATCCAGCATTTCTGGGCCACCAGACGAGTCCGGCGCGCTGCGCAGTCAAGCCATGACGAGTTTGCTGGGTTGGGAATCATGAGAAAGGAAGCATGAAAGGAAGCATCAACAGACATGCGAGATTCAGTGTGAGGCAAGAGTGATGTGGAGCAGAGCGACACCCAAGACGAAGCCATCAACGAAGGTTGGGTTGGGCTTTGCGGGCATGGGGATGGATGTTCCAAAGTGGTAACAAACGATTACAAATGGTGGATTCTTGCTGCAGCGTGGTGCCCGGTGACTCTTTCCCAGGCAAAGGCGTCGAACTCACAGTTGCTCAGCGACGCAAGCTCCCAGAGGCCATGCTGAAGCGAATGGCCGCTTTTTTTGGACTTGTAGTGATTGTTGTGACTCTTTGCTATGCTTTGTTTGACTTTGTTTTGCTTGTCAGGTCTTTGGCATCTCAAAGTTTCGGGACAGGAGAGCACATTTCCTTAAATCCCTGCGCTGCTCCATTGGTGCGAATTCGACGTGTCGACACTGTCGACACCCTCGAGACACCTTTTCGCATGTCGATGTCGAGCAGCGCAACGTTCCAGTGCTCTCGGTGAGTTGCCAGAGTTTTGCCCCGTGAGAGGACGACCATTCTCGGACAGCAGTGGCAGGAGCCGGCGCCGACTTTGAAGCGCTTCCACCTCGAGGTGCAATAGTTGCGAGTGCAACAGTGCTCTCAGCTGAAAATGGCTCTAGAGCACAAAAAAAACTAAAACAAATGTTGCTTAGCAAAACGAAAACAGGGGAGAGACAAGTCTTGAAGAGCTTGCCAGAGAGGTGGCGGAACGGCTCGGGCTGGACGCTGCCGCCGGAGACTGGGATCCAGGCGGGAGTTGGAAGAATGAAAGCGAAGGCAAAAAAGAGAGAACAAGGGAGAGGAAGAGGGCGAAGGGCGAAAGGCGAAAGAGAGAGAACAGAAATGGCAGCCCTTCATGCCGCGCGGAAGAAGAGGGAACAGTAATTCAGTGCTCGAGTGACCCTGACCCCCGAGAATGGACACAGGGAAGGGGGTTCCCCGCACAAGCCGTGACCTACCAAGAGTGCGAGAAACAGAGGAAAAGGGATGAATGGTTTAATGCTAAAGGCTACATGGAACAGTTATGATTCGTGATGAGTGGGTATTTGGGTTGAACTTTGTCAAGCACTTCAGAAATCGAAATTTCCGAGTTTTTTCCTAGGCCAGACCTACGTGATGGACGTGGCAAAGCTCGAGGAGCTGGCGGAGCGGAAGATTCTGCGGCACCAGGAAGAAGCCGCCACCAAAGTCCAGACCAGGCCCAGAAAGACACATGGGAGAAGAGAGAGGAGAGAGAGAAGAGAGAGAGAAGAGAGAGAGAAGAGAGAGAGAGAGAGAGAGAGAGAGAGACAAGAGAGAGAGAAGAGAGAGAGAAGAGACATGGGTCGAAAACAGGCCCTGTTCAGGTGGCATAGCTGCTGTGGCCAATGGGCCACCGTGTGAGTGGTAGCGCGATACTGGAGCGGGAGCGGGGCGCGCTGTCGCGCGGGGGGTCCTGGGCCCCTCAAGCCCCTAAGAAAAAAAGAAAGAAAGAGAGAAGAGAGAGAAGAGAGAGAAGAGAGAGAGGAGAGAGAGGAGAGAGAAGAGAGAGAGCAGCGCAGAACTCATTGGGGGGGCTGGCCCTCCGGAACCAGACGCCTATTCAAACCGAAGAGACCAGTTTTCGCCAGCCGAGCCAATGAGGGTCATGACAAAAACAAGCCAAGCAGGCGCGGAATGCTGCCAGAAAGATGAGGGGGTACGACGTGCCGGATGGGCACGTCCATGGGGCCCGGCGCCCTACAACTACCCGGAGCCCCGCTGAGAGAGGAAGATGCTGAGCGCCCCAGCGCAAGTGAGCTCAGGGCCGACCGTGACGAGAACGAGTCACCGGGACTGCGTTGGAGTGGGGGCTACGACGACGGCAAGAAGAACTGAGCCACAAGGAAGCGGACGCGTCTGAGTCCAATGAAGAACACCAGACGCAGAGTGCTTGGGGCCCTGGGTGACTGATGAGGACTTAGGTTAGGGGGGTCTATGGGGGTAGTATCATTGCTTGGGGGCCCTGAATGACAGTCCAACCTAGTGAGGGCCGGAAGAGCACAGTCTCACACTCAGCAGGCGAGATGTGAAGCAGGGGGGTAGGGGGTAGTGGTTTGGGACATTCAGTTGAGGGCTGGGGGCAGAGCAGCACATCATTGTCTTCAGCTGTACCCGAGTACCGCTCCGGAAACAGGGGCGGGCGATGACGCCCGGAGGCTTCGGCCTCCACGCCCTCCGAAAGAAAGAAAGAAAGAAAGAAGAGAGAGAGAGAGAGAGAGAGAGAGAGAGAGAGAGAGAGAGAGAGAGAGAGAGAGAGAGAGAGAGAGAGAGAGAGAGAGAGAGAGAGAGAGAGAGAGAGGGTGAGAGAGAGAAGGCGGGAGAAGCGGGAGAAGAGAGATAGAGAGAGAGAGAGAGAGAGGAGAGAGAGCGAGAGAGAGAGAGAGAGGAGGAGAGAGGAGAGGAAGAGAGAGAAGAGAGAGAGAGAGAAGAGAAAGAGAGAAGAGAGAGAAGAAGAGAAGAGAGAGAGAAGAGAAGAGGAGACGAGAGAGAAGAGAGCGCAGAGAGAAAAAGAGAAGGAAGGGGAGGGGGGAAGGCCTGCACTTGGCACACGTTTTTTGCTTTTTGCTCAGGTGGCGGATCTATCGAATCCGCAAGCCCATGCGGCAGGCGACCACGATGCTGTAAGTTGCGCGCCCACGAGGATCACACTCGTGTTGGACACAGCACGTTAGGCCGTAGACTTAGGACCCCGACCTTCGCCACATGCTGGTGAGAACCTGTGGGCCGGAGAATGGCCTCCTCTCCCGAAGCTCAGACACCAGCCTTCTCTCTTCTCTGAGCCCATCTTGCAGAGGATGGCGGCCCGACCCGCCGGCTCCGACCTGGATCGGCCGGGTTGATCCGAGGCCGGGGGGGAGACCAAGTGGCCGCCTTATGGGCCTTAATAATGCCCGCCTCTGTCGACCCTCACAGTCCTACCAACTTGACAGGAGACGCGTGGCTGACCGGATGAATCCTTGCGCTTCTGCATCCACTGGGCATTTTGATCCCAGGCTGAATTCGCTCGAACTCTCTCCTGTGTGCTTTCCTGTGTCAATTGCGCTGTTTTGGAGAGCGCACCTTCGCACGCTGTGTGAGAAGGCGGCACCTTCGCCCCTGGAGTGTGCAAAGAGCGGCTGGCTTCTGCACGTAGACTTGCATCGGCCGGGTGCCTAAACTGCTTTTTTTTCGACCTCGTCGACTGCTTCCGACTGAGTTTAGACTCACTAGACTCGCATAGCATCTCTCCATGCTTCCAGCTTTCTCAGGTAAACGTAACCGAAATCACCCTCTGAGCGAACCTGCTCTAACACCCCATCCCCCATGAGGAGTCCTTTGGTGTGCGCCCATGTGTACATGTGCGTACGTGGTCCCTGACGTTGTGCCATGAGCGAGAGCGAGATCGTCAAGCATAGAGGGTCGCATGAGGTACTAAGAAGAGGCGAATCAGCTGCCAGCCGTAGCCAATACGTAGCCGGCACGATGCTTTTGCAGTGTGCCAACAAGATAAAGATTCCGAAGCGGAAGCCATAAAGCCAAGTAAGCAGAATAAGTCGGCATAACGCGGCAATCGAGCCGAAGATAATGAAGAAAGGGCGAACAGAAGGAGTGCGAGATATGACATCTTTTTCATTTATTTTCCTCTCTCGCTCGCTCGCTCGCTCTCCAGCTCTCGCTCTCTCGCTCTCCCCGCTCTCTCTCTCTCCTTCTTTCCTCATCTCCCTCTCTCTCTCTCTCTCTCCAAAGCGAAATTCTTTGAGAGAAGAAGAAAGAGCGAGAAACGAACAAGAATAGCAAAAGTGTTCCGGAGACCGCTTGAGGAGTTCAGTTGCGAAGTCTCCATGGAGGCCCTGGCTCTTTTCTCTTGCCATGTGCAGCAGGGCCCTTCGTGTTGCCCGATAAATTCTCAGTAGTTTTCTGTTCAAGTTTGAATGCAGGGGTGACAAGGGGGCTGCACGACGTGATGGCACCTTCCGAATTCCTGCGAAACAAAAAGCAAGCTGAGGCACCGGGCAACCGGGAGTAGGGGGAGCATGTGTCCTCATTTTTGAATGCTCTTCGCGTTTTGCTGAAAGCCTCGGCGGCTGCTACCGTACCCCAACTGCCGATTTTGCAACATCCTGGGGTGTCATCTACAGTCCTCTACGTTCCCACTTTTGAAGTCTCTGAGTGGCTTACCGGATGTCTTGACATGCGTTGCAACTTGAAACGTGCATCTTGCGTGTGCATTATGCCCTGCTTCTTGGGCAGTAGAGTTTACACATCCGGAAGGGTTTGACGGAGAGAGTACTTTCGGTTTCTGCGCTGCGACTGACCCCCAGGGTAATGTCTCCGAAGCGTGGCAGTTGAGAATGTGATGGAATTGCAAAAATTGGCGTTTCTTCTCACCGGTTTCTCACCGGCCGGTTTCACACCGCTGGCAGAAAAGCTGCCAAGCCGGCAGAGGGCGTGTGGTCTCATCAAAGAAGGCACGTGCCATCGTTTGTCTGGAGATGTACATGGGTTGCTTCTGCCATAATGCTCTGTTCTCTGTGGCACTTTCTTTTCCATTTTGCTCTTCTTCGTCTCTTTCTATTTGCTTCCATTTTTTTTCATCTCTTGCCTCTCTCCTCCCTTTTTGCTCTTCTCTCTGCTTCATGCTCTTTAAAAAAAAAAAAAAAACAAAATAAAAAAATAAACAAACTCCCACACACTCTTCACAAAACAAACTCTCTGCTCTGCCTCCTCTTCTGCCGCTTCCTCTTTCTCCCTCGCAGCCTCCGCCTCTCTTCCTCCTCTCCTCCTCTCTCTTTTTTTTCCGCTCCCTTTCTCTCGCTTGCAGTCTGAGTACTTCTGTTGGCTCTTTTATTCTCTCTTCTCTTCTAGCAGCACTTTTTTTTTTTTTTTTACTTGTTTATCTCTCTCTCTCTCTCGCTCTTTCTCTTTGCTTGTTGCTTGCCAGATGCTGACCTTCGGCTCCCAGTCCAGGTGCCGCTCTGAGCTGGCTTTCTTTTTTTTGGGGGGGGGGGGCGGGGGGCGGGGGGCGGGGGGGCGGGGGCGAGGTGCGCTTTTCCTTCTTTACATGGCTTTCTTATGCTCTCCTCTCCTTGAGTTTTCTCTCTCGCTCGCTCGCTCTCTCTCTCTCTCTCTTTCTCTCTTTCTCTCTTTCTCTCTTTCTCTCTTTCTCGCTCTCTCGCTCGCTCGAGCTCGCTCGCTCGAGCTCGCTCGCTCTCGCTTTCGCTCTGTGCCTGTCTGTGTCTGTGTCAGTTCTCATCCCAGTTCAGGAACGCTCAGATGGCGAGCTCCCGGCGAATTTCTTCAGCAGGGGAGGGGGGGGGGGCGGGTTTCCGACATGTGACTTCTCTCTCTCGGGGGGGGGGAAGGGAAGTCCCCTTTCCATGACCGTACAGAGCCCATATTCCCATATTCCAGGTACAACAACTCCTTCGTTCTCTTTTCCTCGGTTGTTGATGGATCCCGGAAGAACGCCGCTGGCTTGGCAGCCATATATGTGATGCAACCTTTTGGCTGGCATCCGCATCCGACATGTCCACTCTTCTGCGTGCTGCACATGTTGTCTTTTGCATCCGGACCTTTTGCTTGGAGGTGCCCTTGACGCGCGTTCAGGACGAACTCTCCTCCATTCTCTCTTTTTTGTCTTTTCCTTCTTTAGGCCTCTTTCTAAGCCTCTTCTTGTCACCCTTTCCTCTTCCATTTTGCTCTCTCTTTCTTTCTCTCTCTCTCTCTCTCTCTTCTTTGTTTTTGCTTTGTTGCATGTTTTCACTCTGGGTCCTCAGGACGTGTGGGGCCCCGGCGCCGAGGAGCGGCTTCTGCGAAGAAGTAAGAGAGGACTCACACGAAGCTCGCTGTCACTCTCGGAGTTTAGGGTTTGGAGAGCGCGCTTCAAGGCATGACTGTTTCATTTTTCAGCTTTGTGGGCATCTTTTCTCCGAAGCTCTGCTCGAGGCCATCCTCGTCCGGAACTTCCTCAGTGCACGCAGCTCGATGGCTCCTTCATGTGTTTGTTAGCATCGATTTAGTTTCTTTTTTTGGAGGTCATGTCTGTGAGGAGCCTCTCCCCATGGCTCCAGTGGCCTGGCTCAGACGAGTATTGCCAGTGTTGCCAAGTCTTGCCTTTGCTCTCTCGTCTTGCGCGATCTTGCGCGTAGCCGCTTAGGGAGCGGCTGCCCAGCATGCGGGGCAAAGCAGCACTCTGCGATGCTGGGACACTCGAGATGACCTCACGCAGTCTCACTTGAATCCATGGCTGCGAGAGATTCGGAGACGTCCCGTTGCATGGCATGAGGTTGGCAGCTCCTTGGCCGGTTCCTCAGCAAAGTGCAGCCCCGACCATCTCATCTGTCTGTATTGACATTTTCTGACTGTTTTTTCTAGGTGATGTGCACCATGACAGCTCCCGTTCACCAGCTTTTCAACTTCCTCGCCACAACCCCTGAGGCTCGCCATGTGCTCTGTGCCTTCCAAAGCACTGCTTTGAGCACATGCCGTTAGACTGCTGTTGCTCCTTTGTAAGAGCTGCGAGACTCTCATGCCTGTGTTCGTGCCGCGCCTTTACCTTTTGATGTTGACAAGCGGGGAGTTTACTCAAGAAGGAGAAAAGTGCTTAACCACAAACCGGACTGCAACTGATGCGGCTGGCGCGCTTGCGCAGCACGACATAGAACGACGCATGATTCCGAGTCGTTGTTTGCTTAGGCTTGCAAGTGTCGCGAGCCGCCAGGCAAAGTCTGTGAGCCTTGCCCGCCGGGCCAACATGGCCCGCAGGCTGGAGCTGGAGAACCTGCAGGAAACGTTGAGTGGCATACTCTCGGCATACTTGTGGGTGTACTGGGGGGACGTATCGTTCTCCCAAGCCGCAGCAATCCGAGGCCAGGAATATCCCCCAACTTTCAAGGCTGAGTGTGAACCTGTCCTTGTTGGCAGCACGACCCAAGTGTGCAAAGGCATGTGCTTATGTGCACTCTCTACGCACTTCCCTGTCTGTACTACATTGTGTCTGTGAGAGGTGTATTATGTGTACACATGCGGAATCGCTGCGAGCCATGCCTCGATGACCTTTGCCGACGAGCTGCGAGCTGCGGTCGGACGAATGCAGTGTAGTGAATGTAGTGAATTGATGCCTGATGCCTCTTCTCAGTACTCTCCAAGTCTCCAAGTACCCTTCCAAGTACCCTTCCAAGTACCCTTTCCAAGCTTCGCCAAGCCATTCTTTCGGTCAACGAGGTGCTTCGTGCGGAAGAGAGCCGAGTCGCGAGGCCAGCGAAGCAAGCGCGCCTGGAGGCTTCAAACAAGTACAAGCTTGGGCGGAGCTCTGTGCAGTGGCAGAGAGATGCAAAGTGCACAAAAGGCAGCGGCGCAGCCGACGGATGCCCGGCCGACGGATGCCGGGCCGACGGATGCCCAGCCGTTGGCGCCAAAAGCCAAAGCAGCGGAAGACACTGTTCAGGCTGTTCAGACTGTTCAGACTGTTCCCAGTTCTCCAGCCCATGGGGGCAGAGATGCCCTCGCCAGCCCCATCACCAAGAAGAGGGCACGAGAGCTCCTTCGCCAATCCAGCTTCGAAGAGAGACTGGACGCCTTTGTTGGAAACTACCTCCAGGCTTGTGCCGTCACTGTCAGTTGTCGTTTTGCATCGTTTTGCCAGTAAACCTGTACACGGTTTTGGGTTGGCGCTTTGAGGTGGAAGATCCGTGACCTTGGCTGAATTTTGGGAGAGCGAGAGACGGATGTAAGGTCATATAATGTCACCCTCTCTCTCTCTCTCTCCTCTTTTTTGTCGCTTTAGTCTTTCGCTGGCTCTCTCCGTCTTTGAGGATTGAAGACATCCCTCTTCCGGCGGAGGATATGGGTGCCTGCTCTGTGAGTCTACCGTGATGCTACTCTCTAAGAGCGCCCCTTCTGAGTGAATGCCATTCATTGATTCCAAATTGAATGCCTGCCTGCCTGTCTGCCTGTCTCAATCTGTCTCCTGTGGATTTGTGAGGAGCAAGCGAGGGAGCGCTTCGCTGCTCGACTCCGGCTCGCCAAGGGAGTGGATGAGGAGAGAGCGAACCATACGAACCTCTGAGAAAAAACACTCCCTCTCTTTCTTAACTTTGCTTATTTGCTTAATTCCTTTCTTCCCCACAAAAAAGTGAGTTCCGTGGCTTGCGTTCCGAAGCGGTTTCTCTTCTTTGCCTTTCGAGAGGCTTCGCTGCCCAGCATGCTCGGCACCCAGACCGGGGAGCAAAGGAGTGAGAAGCTATGAGAGAGAACCGAGAGAAACGTAATGACCTTTTGGAGACGCAAACATGATTCAGTGGATGCGCCATTTGTCTGCTTTGTTACTTCATTTCTTTGTCAGCGCTTAGTCGTTTTTCCGAAGAGCTCTCTGTGTGTCCTCCGAGGCTCGGCGAGCTCCGCACAGAGGGTCCCAAATGGGGCAGCACCAGGCCGAGCTGCCTCGCTCAGCGCGCTCTCTGCGCGCTCTGCTTGCGTGAAGTGCACATTTCGGTGTGCCTTTTCCTGGTCAGGCACCAGAGAAGCGTCGCGCTGTTGCTCGTGTACGTGCGAGAGCCTCAGGTCTTTGTGAGATGAGCAGGGAAGCACGAGAGGTGTGCGCTTCGGAAGCCGTGCAAACTCTATGACATCTACTCATCGACACGATCAAGGAGTGCAATTCTTGAAGAGAGCGAAGCCAGCGAAAATCGTAGGCAAGCAAAGGTATAGCACTTTCCGGGGAGCCCCCAGCAGAGCTTCACAGTCTGTGCCATGACGGGACCTGGAACCCGGCTCTGGGCGTGTATTCGCAATCTTCATCCGTTGAGGAATCCTTTGTCTTGTGGCCACCCATCGCAACCAAATGTTGTCTGTAAGACATCCTGTTTGAGCAACACGTGTGAAGGGACCATGGGCTTACGGTCTACAGCGGCTGTAGACCGTAAGTGTTGCTCCACTTCTCATCTCGCAGCTGCGCGTGCGGCTTCCGGAGTGAGGTGCCATGACGTGCCCTTGAACCTTGGGTCTGCACTTTGGAAGCCAACGCTGGGGAGATGGGTTTTGGGCTGGGTCAGGCCAGGTCCAAACATCCGCATTCTTCGAGCTCGAGAAGTTCTCGAACTCCACACTCGACGTCCTTGAAACTTTCGAGCTCGAAAGCCGGCCCCGCTTCCGATTTCCACGTCGTTCGTCCTTGTCATTCTTCGAAGTTTCAGCGTGTTTTCTGTTTTTTCACGTTTTAAGCTTTCAAATTTTCAAATGTTCAAAATGTTGACAGAAGTAGTCGTGACACCTATTATCTTTTTGAAGCCTGTCAAGCTACTCAGTTGCTTGTGCATTGAGGTCACGATCCTCTCGCGTCTGTCGGGGTGCCTTTGTGGCGTGGGCCCGAGATTTCAGGAGTACGACGTGCAAAGCATTCAGGCGAGAGGAAAGCGAGAGTGAAGCTTCGCCAGGCTCAGGGCCTCCCACTGCTGGGCCGGGAGCCTTTGTTTCAGTTCCCAACATAGCCTTTGCTTGCCAAAATGAGGGGGACGCTGTGTGCTTTCTGCATCTGTTCGGTGGCGCGGGGGGGGGGGGCGGGGGGTGTGAGCCTAACTTCCTGCCTGACATAATCGGCGATGTGGACTGTGCCATCGCATGTCGTCATTGTGTTGCTTTACACGCGGCGTCTGGCCTCTCTCAATCCTTTCCAAGATCTGCTTAGGCGAGCTGCTGACGCAAGCCGTGCAGGTTCTGGAGGCTTTGGGGGATTCTTGGAGAGTTTGGGGAACCTGAAAGTCTTGAAAGACATCACTGACATCACCCTCGCGCCCCCTTCACTAGGCCGGGCCGGACACAGACCGCCACGAGGCCCCAGAGCTCAGAGCTAGGGTTGCAGCTTCTTTGGAGAAGCACGAGCTGTCTCGCTTCCATGATTTGGGGCGAGGGGGGGCGCAGTTCCTCTATCTTTCGATTGTGAGAGTAGTCCCTCGACTTGAAGGCAGGATTGCAGACAGTGGCATGTGTGCAGCTCAGCTTTCCGCTCTCTGGCTTTCGGTCTTGGGACAGCAGAAAGACGGCGCTTCATGTGGTTCTATCACTGTTTGGGGCCTAAGGGTTTGGGTTAAGGTTGGGTTCATGAGGTTCATGCTTCAGGTTTAAGTTCTCGGGCATTGGATTTGGGTTTAGGATAGCTCGTCCGAGCTTGTTCAACAGTTCAACATGCCAACACCATGCAAAGGACGATGAGAGATTGCAATGTTGACTCTGTTGTGGGCTAGGGCGGCTAGGGTGAGTGGTTTCGTGGTAGTACATATGGTTGCCATATACATAGATGTCTTCGTTGTCGTCTGTTGATGAAGTCTGTTTCCTTTGTACCTGAGGTTGTTGTGAGTGGTTTTGGTGTTTCGCTCCCCGCTGCTCCCACATGCCTCCGCTCTCCTTGAAGGCCTCACTTGCTTGTCTGCCCTCGCCGTGGGGCGTGCCACCATGCGACTCGTTTGAGATCAGGGAGAGGTCTCAGAGAGTTGTGTCCCAAGTTTAAGCGCGAACAAGCAAGCTTGAGCCACATTCACTGTTGCGAACGCTTGTCCAGGAGTGAAAGAGGCTGAGAGAAGCCTCACGCTTTTTGTGAACCCTCTTGAAAGGTGGGAGCACCGGCAAATCCTCGGCAAGGCCTTTGACCGGTTGCACCGCTTGACCCTCAGAGACCGACGAAGAGAGAGTGTCAAGACATGTCAAGACATGTCAAGACATGTCAAGACGCATCCAGAAGGACCAGTAGATGCAAGACTGTGCTCCCACTGAGTTCCCACTCTTTCAGGTTGGTGCAATCAGGAAAAGACGGCCCTGGCAGCTGAGCTTCGCGCCTTGACGCAGTCCTTGTCCAGGAGACCGCGACACCATGCGACCAAAACGCCAGAGAGTCTCGAGAGAAGGGGGAGTTCCAGAGTTCCAGTTCGACAGGATGTGGCGCCAGCAGCCCAAGCCGGCGGTGCAAGACACGCCCGCAAACAAAGCCTTGCGGGTGCGAGACACAGAACGACTCCCAGAGAAATCATCTTGGAGAGTGAGCGAGTGAGCAATCTGAGAGTTTCTGCTGTGCCCAAGTCTTCAAGAGTCTCAAAAGAAAGGTTGAGTCAGTCTGAAGAGGTGAAGGTGCTGGAGCTGATCCGGCAGGGCCTGGAAGATGGAGGGTGCGGGGATCACGCGAAACACCTCTCTGAGTGTAAGTTGCAGAAGTGTGAAGTAACTCGCAGTACTTCTCTTTTGCGCCTCTACTCTGTTGAACCCCTTTTCAGGTCTGTCGGGTCTGTCGGGTCTGTGGCCTCGGAGATCGAGGCAGCACTCTACTCCATGTACGCAGGACTCGCGCGTTCCGTCTCTTCGAGCTTTGGGGTGCCGGCGCTGTGTGTGTGCTATGTGAATCTAGGTGAATCTATGCGTGTACAACTGCGTGCTATTGCAGTTACTATTGGGTGCTTGACGTGTGCACTTATCCTTTGCAAGAGGAGCCACCAGCGAGTACCGCCAGCATGCCCGAATGCTCCGCCACCTGACATGTGTTGACAGATGCACCCTATGCCCTATACGATTGAAGGCCTACATTGCATTTGATTGCACACGCTGGTGTTTGTAAAGTCTTGCGAGAAAGTGTAGCACCGGCTCCGATCCCAGGACACAACATGATGCAGCCAGAGAACGGTGCTCTCAGAAGTGGGGCCCTCATTACCTCAGAAGCCACCGCAAAGCATCAGCTATTGTCGACGTGATAAGGACGAATTCTGACGGGGGAAATCGGTGCACAGGACCTGCTCGTTCTCCCTTTCAGCTACAGTCTTGCGGTGTTTTGCGACCTGTGCAGGAATTGGTCCGCATGGACTCGCGGTCGCTTGCCCCCGAAACGCTGCAGGACAGCGGCGCTTCTCAGCCGGGGGTTACAACCGGGGCTTGAACATGGACCGAAAGAGCTCTCTCTGGGCCTCTCCGCGTTTGTTGCCTGTCACGAAAGCAAGCCTCACACAACAAGTCTGACAAAAACACGTCTCGCAAGCGTTTCCTCTCCGATTTCGATGTTTGAAGGCCTCGCAAAGTGATAGGAGTTCTTTCGTTCTCAGGAGAAGCGGCGCAGGGAGGAGTTGGAAGCCCTCAAGAGCGCTTCTTGACAGACGACATGCAACGATGAACGATCATTCGAGTATATCTATATATATATATATATATTTCTATATCTACATACATAATCATACCACATGCATGCACATATACCGCTCTCGCTCTCTCTCGCTGTCTGTCTCTCTGTCTCTTTGTCGCTCTGTCTCTCTGTTGCTCTGTTTCTCTCTTGAGGTCGTCATCGCCCCGGCCAAGAGTGTCGCCCCCGCGCCCCCGGCCTTCGACTGGCGAGACGAGACCTACAACCCCAGGCCCCAGAAAGGGCAGAGAAAGGGCAGACAGATGCAGCACAGCACAGAGAGTCGATTCGTGACTCTGCTGTAGACCAGACGACCACAAGAGCTGTGATCTCGGCGGGCTGTACTTCACTGATCCTACGAGAGACTCCAGAGGAATGTCCTGTGTAGGCTCCAAAAATCTTGGACCAGATTTTTTTCTTGATTCGGCAAGAGAGATCACGGCTCATAGCTTGCAGATGCTTGCAGTGAAGGTGGAAGAAGGTGGATATAAAGGGGCAGGTTTTCTCTCTCATGTCAGGAGATAAGGATGACGGTCTTGGTTCACTTGGAGCAACACAGTTCACGGATGTGCATACTTCGTCCTTGATGTGGTATCCTGCAAGAGTGCTAGCGCAATCTGCCACCCTTCGAGCATCATTGAGTAGCCGGCTTCAGCTTTGACATGTCCGCTGAAGGCTCTTCCTTTTTCAAACTTTTTCAATCCATTCTAGAGAGAGTCCAGGGAGATCTTCAAAAGAGACTTTCGCTGTATTTCAGAGGGGCCCTGGGCATGCCCTGCATCTCCCCTGCAGCTCCCCTGTCTGATCCCTACCTCCCATTGAGCCCAGCATTGAGCCCATCCCTGCAGTGCATCCAGAGATGAAGCAAGAGATGAGGGTCCCGTACGACAGGCAGAGGTGCGCTTGTGCTAAGTGTGCTCTCACGAAGTGTGCTCACACAAAGTGTGCTCACAAAGGACGTTCTTCCGAGTGCGCAGGCTGAGGCTGGACAGATCCCCGAAAGTCCCGCGGAATTCATGGAGCAGCCCACGCCGCCGAGTTCTCAGTGCGACGCTGCGGCACTGCGGTGCACTGTGGTGCACTGCGCTGGTGGTGCACTGGTGGTGCACTGGTGGTGCACGGTGCTGCACCGTGGTGCACTGCGTGTGCTGTTGAGCTGGGGTGCCGAGTCTCGAGGCTTCGCAGCAGCTCCGCCTCGGGCGCACCCGCCACGCCGGAGGCGAGAGGAAAGCAATTGAGGTGTTTAGGGGTTGGTCGGGATGGTAAGGATACTGTAAGGATACTGAAAGGATACTGTAAGGATACTGTAAGGATGGTAAGGATCTGTCTCAGTGCTCTGCCTCATTTTCGCAAGGCCATGGCCACGCCGGCACCAGACGATGAGGACGAGCAGCGAGACGATCTCATCCGCCATTTCTCGCAACGTGTGCTCTGAGATGTGGAGATCAAACTGAGAAAGAAACAAACCGGGGCTCCTCTCGACCCGTCTAAAGACTAGGGGGTCGATGAGAAATCCAGCTTCAGCCATTCAGCCAGTCGGCCATTCGGCCATTCAAAACGCTAATGCGACACCTGCTAGGGCTGCTGGGGCTGCTCGGGCTGCTAGGGTCACCGTGGGAGCCGCTTCAGTCTGCTTCAATTTCCGCTAAAAGGTGGACAAAGGAAGCGACCTCCCGTTAGTCGAAGCTGGGTTTGCCCAAAGAAAAGCGTGCCGCTCTGCAACGCGGTGTTCATAGTTGGCTTCCTCCTACTTCCCGCGCGCAGCTTGCAATACTCAAAATACATCGGATGCCGACTGATATGGACTGCCCATCTGAGCCAGGTTCCTGAGGGAGCAGTACTTTGTACCCTTGCCCCGCGAGGTGGGGGAGCCGTGCGCGCATCGCAGACGCTGAGCAAAGCCAAGCATCCTACAGGTCAGCATAGGTCAGCATAGGTCAGCATAGGTCAGCTTTGAGTGCAGATGTGCAGAGCAATAAGAGCAATATGCAGAGAGGGCGGTTTTTTTTCAGGGGCGGTCCCGAGCTTCGCGGAGGTTTCATGGGCGGGTTTCGGATTGTAGCCCTCCAAGCCTTTTTGGGCAGGCGATGGGGGGGGGGGAACAGGAAGTCTCGGCTTTGAGGCCGAGAATATCTCTCTGCTCCTGGATTGCTTGTTCATCCTCGCGGGCCATGAGGGTGGCGCCCTTCTGCTGCAAAAAATCGTAGGCTTGGCTCAACAGGTGATGATCACGGATTTCAGCCAACCTCCTCCTTCGCAGCATTACAGCTGGAGGACGATTTTTTCTTCCAGACGTGTTCGAGCGCATGTGGGATTGAATGAAATGATACTCGTATATTGTCTTATATGATACTTGTATGAAATGAAGCGAGTTGCGATTTGCACCAGGATCTCACCCGTGGCACTGCGCGACTTCGGGTCGGCCCCTGGGAGTTGCTATTGGTCCCAGCTTAAGTGTCTCCTGAGTTTGTGGATGTGCGTGGGTGTGCGGGTGTGTACGGATGTGATGTGTGCGCGGGTTTGCTTTGGTACATCGGAAACTTGGGGCTCGAGACCAAATTCGTTGGCCTGTAAGCGCTACGGGCCGGTATGGTCAGAAGGCAAAGGTGCCAGCGCTTGCTGGCAGACCTGGCAGAGGACCTGGACCTCGCGGTATCTTCGCTGCCTATCCGTCATTCTTTCTCCGTCTCTCCGTCATTCTCTGCTTTGCAGGATGCCTCGCAAGTTTGAGAGGGAAAAGGCCTCTGGCACAGCCTCCCCATCTCGGCGACAGGCCCCGAGATGCTGCAGTGCAGATCTGGTGTGCAGTTGTGCTGAGCCGTGTTCTCTCGCCCCACACTGAGTCACTGAGTGTCCGCGCAGGAGGTCCGAGAGGTCCGAGAGGTCCGAGAGGGAGATGGAGAGCCGTATGTCGGTCGGGAGCCCCAGGAGGCAACGAACCGTTGCATTCGCAGCAGGTCCCCGTTAAAAATGCCAGAGCCTGATACATGCGATAGAGGGGCCGAGAGAGAGAGAGAGAGAGAGAGAGAGATATGGGAGGAAGCAGCCAAACTGCTGAGCAGCCTCCTGGAGGCACATGCAACCACCCCCACCAGCCAGATGGCCCAGACGCTAGCCGTCATAAGGGAGCTCATGATGAGGGGCACAAGGCGCATGAGCCAGGTGAAGAGGGTGAACGACTGGCAGACATGGGGGGGGGGAGGCAGCAGCGGAGGCGAGCCTGGAGCAAATCACGCAACTGCTGGCATGGATGAACCGTGCAGATAAGGGGGCACCTACCGCAGAGACGCATAGCAGACAGTCCCAGCACCACATCCAACAACTACTCCGAGAAACCCTTACGCTCGCACAACAGGCTGCGGAAGCACATGAAGTGGTCATCGAGGCACCACAATGGTCCCAACCACCACCACCACCACCACAACACCAACCACGGTACCCCGCAGCAGCCACAGCAGCCACGGCAGCCGCCGAAGCAGCAGCAGAAGAAGAAAAGGGGGAACCCGGCCCACCCGGCAGATGTCATAGGCCTGGCGGCGGGAGCACAAGAGAACCATGGGGGCAGGGGGCCGCTAGGAGGAGGGCCGACACACATTGTCAAAGCCAAAAACATCCTCGCTCAACTCATACCGTTCCTGGTCCAGGAAGAGGCACACCTAGCAGCACAAGCAGCGAATGCGCTGGAGGAATGGCTAGCAGAACACTGGGGTGAGCCCATCGTGCTCCTCGACACACAACACACGGAAGGGGGCCCCCCACCAGAGCCAGATGACGGAGAGGAGCCGAACACCCCAGACACCATACCCTGGGCACCCCCACCACTACCCTCACGCTCACAGCCTGCCACGCACCCACTGACACCGCGCCACACACCGCACCACCCACCCACATCCACCACTCCAACCAAAAGAGCTGGAGACGGAGGACAGAGAGCCCACGGAGGAGTACCCCTCGCCGGGAGAACCACCAGACACCGCAGAGGCATCACACAGAAGAAGGCGAACAAGTGGGGGGAACGAACTTCACCGTCGAGAACACCGATTACCAGAAGGGGACTACGATAGCAGACGGCGGAGAACACATGAGGGAGCCAGCAGTGACTAGTAGCAAGAACGATGGGGGCACAGAGAAGGGGGAAGACAAAGGTTGGATTTGCTGTTTTGTTCCGGTTACCGAGGCGTTAGTTGTGGTTTGATGTCGGAACCCCAGACCCATCGATAGAAACCAACCAAGAGGGACAGTGGGGGGAGGATCTGAACAGTAGCAGCATCAGTCCGAACCCCGACCTCTTGTTTTGGGCCAATGAGCCAGGCGACCTCTCAACACGGGAGGGAAAGCCTTTCCAACCAAGACAGCACGCGCCCCTGGGGGCGGCCTCCTTTCGGGGGGGTCATGCGTGGGGGAGAGAGAGAGAGAGAGAGAGAGAGAGAGAGAGAGAGAGAGAGAGAGAGAGAGAGAGAGAGAGAGAGAGAGAGAGAGAGAGAGAGAGAGAGAGAGGAAGAAGGGCTCAAGCCACCGCCCCTCCGACCTGAGGGCTGGAACAGTGTGAGAGTGTGGTGAGAGCTGAGAGAGATCAGGGGGAAACGTGGGCAGCCCTGAGTAGAACCAGAGCTCACTCGACCGTGTTCCCCATCCAAGTGACCGCAAAGCTTTTGGATGAGCCTGTCCCGCCTGAGCAGCGGCACCGAGCAGCCTTTGCTGGCGATAGCGCAGGAATGTAGGGGGATGGCCCCGGAGGGGTGAGCCAATAAGAGCCAGGGAGAGGGTTGGTGAGATACAGGGGAAGGGAAGTTGATTTCGGGAAGGTTTGCGGAGAGTTGAGTTGCGTGTTTGCAGAAGGAATGACGTTCAGGAAGTTGCGGGGAAATTGGTCTTCGTGATAGATAGCCTGGTGCCGAGAATCCAGCGGCCACATATCCTCATTTCGGAACGGAGCACAACACGTGTGCCGGGCCGAGCCGGCAAGAGAATCAAGCATACTATGTACTGTTGTGTTGTTGCGGGGGCGGCATTGAACCAGCAGTCGGGGCAACGTGCACGCCTGGCGCGAGGAGGGAGTTGTTACTAAGGAGCTCCTGAGGCCAGGCCTTCTCGGGGGAACACATCGCGCTGGGGACTTATGTATGTTTCACGCCGCCGATTTGGAGACGGACTGGGCGCGCCTTGTGCGCGGAGGGTGCACGCGTGCGCCCTTCAAGCCCTGAAGAAGAAGAAGAAGAGGAAGAAGAGGAAGAAGAAGCAGAAGAAGAAGAAGAAGAAGGAGAAGAAGAGGAAGAGGAGAGCGGGACATGGGTTGAAAGTCGGGGATAGGGGGACTAGAAGGGAACGGCAGACAGTGGTTGTTTTGTTTCTAAATCTGACCGTGACTCTGGGACCTGCCCCGCATGCGGGGGCCCCGGGGTGCCCCCAAGCCCGGTAGAAAAGAGAAAGAGAAGAAAGAGACAGCAAGAGAAAGAAAGGAAAAGACAGAGAAAGAAGGGGAAAGAAAGGAAAGCAAAGAAAAATAACGACAAAGTAAGAAAGAAAGAGAAAGCAAGTGGTCTGTTTTTGATTGCCGAAAAGTAAAAACCTAGGGTCCGCGCAGGTCCGATCCCAAAGCCTTCTAACCTTTTCGCAGAGCAAGCAGAGTTGGGAAAACCTTAGATGTTTCCGCCCCGCGCCAGGCCAAAACGGCTCATAACGGCTCTTGGAACTTGACCGAATAGCTCGTGCCAAAGCAGCTCTTTGAACTTGACCAACGAGCTCCGCAAAAAGAGCTCTTTGTCCTTGACCAAATTGCTCGCGCCAAAACGGCTGATTGAACTTGACCGAATAGCGTGCGCCAAAGCAGCTCTTTGAACTTTTGAACTTGACCAAATAGCACGCGCCAGAACGGCTCTTTGAACAAATTGCTCGGGCCAAAATGGCTCTTTGAACTTGACCGAATATCTCTCGCCAAAGCAGCTCTTTGAACCTGACCAGATGGCTCGTGCCAAAGCAGCTCTTTGAACTTGACCAGATAGCTCGCGCCAAAACAGCTTTTTGAGCTTGAGCAAGAAACTCGCGCCAAGCCAGCTCTTTGAACTTCACCAAATAGCTCGCGCCAAAGCAGCTCTTTGAACTTGGCGAAAGAGCTTGCACCAAAACGGCTCTTTTGACTTGACCAAATACCTCGCACCAAAGCAGCTTCGACTTCACTAAATACCTCGCACCAAAGCAGCTCTTTGAACTTGACCGAATAGCTTGCGCGAAAACGGCTTTTTGAGCTTGACCAAATATCTCGCGCCAAAGAAGCTCTTTGAACTTCACCAAATAGCTCGCGCCAAAACGGCCTTTTGAACTTTACCAAGTAGCTCGCGTCAAAACGGCCATTTGAACTTGACCAAGTAGCTCGCCCCAAAACTCTCTTGGATAAATAGCTCGTGCCAAGACGGCCTTTTGAACTTTACCAGATAGCTCGCCCCAAAACGGCCCCTTGAACTTGACCAAATGGCTCGCGCCTTACGCACACAAGTTCCTTTTCTGCACCTGAAGAACACAGGAAGTTGCCCACGAATGGTAATGGCAAAATGTTGCAGCTGCCGCACCTTGCACGGGGGACGACTTGGTCCCCCACGAACAACTTAGGACTCAACTCGGTTTCAATCTGATTAAATGTGCTTTCCGTATGAGAGCCACGCGCTCTGGCATCTTCGAGACAGTGGAGAAGTGACCTCACCGGAAATTTTCGCTGCTTTCAGACATCTCGAAGTAGTAGTGGCGCCCGGCTTCAACATGTCTGAGAGTGTCAAGGGTGTCAAGGTCCAGCATTGCCGCGCTGGCAGCCTGAGCCAGAGCACGCCAGTGATCTGGAACGGTTCATCAGGCTCTGAGAGGAATCTGAGAGCAATTTGGCGGGGAGGGCTTTCATGGACGTTTACAGGCTTTAATACTCTTGGCCTCCGCGCAGGCATTGCAGAACAGAGAAATGCCCGGACTTTCAGGTGGGTCCTCGCTTTGCCAGCGAGCCAGCGCATAATGAAAAGCTTGGCGTGGTACTTGTGGAGGCTGGGCATTGCGAGCTTCACAAGCCCATGCAGCCGCATCCTGAGAGGGCTGCGCCATGACAGTTGGGAAAGGGTCCACATGACACATCATGACGCGTCATGACACACATGATCTCTGCAGTCTACAAGGTGTTTTCACTTCCACTTCGAGGCAGCTGGGAAGTTGGCATCCGGTCCTGGCATGCAAGAGCAGCTGTTGCAACGACCAAGCGCATCAAACTCATGACAGCAACAGGCGCTCAATGAAAGCAAGCACCTCAACCGCCTCAACCTTCATATGTTCTTTATGCTCACATGCCACCCACGCTCTCCATGGAGCCCGTTTCATCTCGCTCTCGCCCGCTCTCGCCCGCTCTCGCCCGCTCTCGCCCTCTCTCCCTCTATCTCTCTTCTCTCAGTCTCTCTCTCTCTCTCTCTC